AAAAAAAATACTACATAGTTACATTGTCGAATATCTCGTTGATTATAGATAATCGGTTATGAAAATTACTACTTTAGTGACATGAATAGAATACATTTAGATCTTATGAAAAATGTACAGTATAACTGTATGCATAAAATGTCTTTGTTCAAGCCACTGAATAATTCTATCTGAAGTTTGTACTGATGATATTGTTCAGAAGAACGATGAAAGCTCCATGACCAAACCATACAGCTCAGAGAATGAAATTCCACTAAAACCACTGAATACTAGTTAAGCTTTAATTTGTTTTATATCAACAATCAGAACACTTCAGTAAAGCTTGATTGACTGAACGACTTTATTTAAAAGAAATCGTGGTAGTTACACATGACTAAATTTATAAAATTAAATTAGACTTTATTACTCACTTTAAAAGTATGTAAGCAGATTATAAAATAACATGTCAACATGTTTCTTATTATGAACAGGCTTTTTTGGAATTTGAGAGAAAGCTAAAATTTCTCATATCTTTTTATAATAATAAGCATTACAGTCGGATTCTAGTTGGGCATCCGCTAAAAACTGTGAGTCATTAAATATCTGTTACGAGATTTCTCAAGAGAAGTGTCAAATCTAGAACCGTCAGGTGAGTGCTTAACCATTAGACCACTGAGCCGGCCTCCAAAGATGTTAATGCCTAACTTCATCAATCCACTATTATTCGGTTATACAAGTTTATTAAAATAGTTTTTTGGCTGGTACTATCATGCCGATATTGTTGAGTACCACGAAAATCATCAAACAATTCTATAACATATTCATTCAATCGAATTGCTTGTTAAACATACAGCTATTATTGCTAAACAAATAAGGCTCAATTAATTCATTGAAATTTTTATTATTATTCTATATTAATCACGCTCAGTTTAGAGTTTTTGGAATTTAAGTCATTATCATTTCATTTTTCATTCAAATATTGATATGTACTTTTCCATATAATAGACGCTTAGATACTAGTTAATCATAACCAAAATCCAATTTGGTTAAAAGGTATACAACAAAATGGAATATATCTGTTTAATATCGATTAAAAGAATAGTATTGGCTTTCCATAAAGTTCATATTGAATGACAAATCTGATTAACAAATGAATAAATCTACTTTTTGTTAAGAAGAAAACATTTTATTCTACGGTTTTATATGTACACAATGATTTGATATACAAAACTATACATACCATATGAATAGAAATATATAGTAAAAATTAATATTAGCTATATACCCCATATTTTATTTACATTATTTTAATAGTAATTAAGCTTAAGGTAACTAGTCCCTTTTATAAATTTCGATAGAACAATGAAAAGCCAAAGTTGATCAGAAGTTGTCAAGGACAAATCCTTAAGTTTATTGAAGCCTTAACTATTTGTAAATTTAAACTCCGCTTACATGTACAAAAAACTTGTCGTAACCTTGAATTTACTTCGGTAATCCTCAAGTCGTTTTATGGCCTAAGGTAATCCGACAATTTCATATTTTTTCTATACAATGTAAACTTGTTTCTCTCCACTTTGTTACCTTTTTTCATTGAACTCCTATTTAATTGTATTCACTTGGTGTTATATACTTGTATCTTCCCATTGATTATTAGCACTGCAATTGATCAGTCTCGTGTTGGTGTATGCGTATTCTGTGCGGATTGCCTTGATATTGCCTGAAGTCACAAGCTTTATAAGCAAAGATGGATAGTGGCTATGAGTGGAATCCAGGAAAATATTGAAGTGTGTATTTGATACTCTTAGTAAATAAGCTATCATAAATGAGAGTGACAGTTGATATAGTTATAGATATAGAACTGAAAAAAACTAAAGTGGCTATGAGTGGAATCCCGGACGTGTGGTCCATCCTATTTGAGACTCGTCAGTTGGATGTGCCTACATCTCCGGAACTCGAATCTAGTACCATTCACTTCAAACGCCATTGCGTTGTCCACTTAGGTACTGAGTTCAAACTGAGTTCTGGTAATTAACCTTCATTAATTTTCATATATAAAAATGCCGTGGTAAGTATATATGTGACCAGATTGTTCAAAATGTATAGCGCAAATACACCACATTTTTCAGATCAACTCCGTCTTCTCACTGTTCTATCGAAGTAATTAAGTTCTTCTTTTAACAAGGATAGATAGAAAAATAAATCCTGAAACTTATAACTTCAGAAAAATTTATTTCATGATTTTATTGATATAAAACTTTAACTTAGAAATGTTTATTCCTAGAAAGTGAAAATCACTTCAATCATATTGTAGTGAATGAGAACACAAGTGGAGACAATCGAATGTATTTGAATACAAAATTACAGAATATCCGAAGACGATACAGTAAATACTTAATTTGCAAAATGTTAACCAATTGCCTTAAACTTGACTGTTTCTTTTGCAAATATCAGTAAATCGTCTCAGATTTTAATGTTTCTTCATTTTCATACCAATTACTTTCTGTTCCTGTTCTTTTCTTCACGACGTTCTGCTTCCAGACATTCTATTCCTGACTAGTGTTATATACTACTTACGTCGATGTAAGCAGCACACACCACAATATATGTTTCACTTTTCTCTTTGATTTGTTACCACATTACATTACTTACGCCTGTTACTCCTCGTGAAGGAGCATAGGCCGCTCACCAGCATTATCCATCCAACCCTGTCCTGGGCAATCCTTTCTAGCTCCTTCCAGTTGTTATTCATCCTCTTCATATCTGCTTCTATTTCCCGACGTGATGTGCTCCTTGGTCTTCCCCTTTTCCTCTTCCCTTCAGGATTCCAAGTTAGGGCTTGCCTCGTGATGCAGTTTGATGATTTGCGTAATGTATGTCCTATCCATTTCCATCGTCTTTTCCTAATTTCTTCTTCAGCTGGAAGCTGGTTTGTTCTCTCCCATAAAAGGCTGTTGCTGATGGTATCCGGCCAATGGGTGTTGAGTATCTTGCGTAGACAACCATTTATAAATACTTGTACCTTCTTGGTGGTGGTTGTTGTAGATCTCCAAGTTTCAGCTCCATACAGTAGAACTGACTGCGTTGACGTTCGTATTGAAGATTCTCACTTTGATATTGGTTGAAAGTTGTTTTGAGTTACATATGCTCTTCAACTGTAGGAATGCGACCCTTGCTTTTCCAATCCTCGCCTTTACGTCTGCATCTGAACCTCCTTGTTTATCGATGATGCTTCCCAGGTATGTGACGGATTCTACATCTTCCAGAGTTTCGCTATCAAGAATGATTGGACTGCTGTTCTCTGTTTTGAATTTGATGACCTTGATTTTCTGCCTGTAGCTCTTCTAGAGTTACTACCGGTCCCAAGCCCGTGTAAAGGAGGAAGTTCGGGCATGCGGTTAGCGACCCCATCCCGTAGAAAACTAACTTGATTTGTTACCATTGTTTCTTAATTGTTTGCTGATAATCTTTTTTAAAAATATGTATATATCTTTCTATCATCTGTTAGCTGTGATGAATTTATTCTTTATAGACTTTAGAGAATAAATGAAGTCTCACAAAATTTATAAGTAATGAAAGTTTGTATTTTTGAAACTACATAATGTTTTGGCCTATGCAAATAATAAGTAATGATATTCAGAGAGCATATTGAATAGTTAGTAAATAAAGTTTATTTGAAATCGTTCGATATCAACAATTTTGATGGCCACCTTTTCTTCCTGCACCAATTTGTCAAAGTTAGGTTCCTTGTGTAGCTTCGTTGATAAGACCTACATATAATTATTTGCCCACAGTAAATTTATATAAATAAAAAGGTTGATAATGAGGCGTCATTACTTCTCATTAATTATTTCACTTACCAGTAATAATGACTTGTTTTTTACTTGTATTTGTCCATGTTTAATCAACAAATCAGTTTCGTTTTGTTTAAAATAGGCACTAAGTAGATGTGCATTTATCTGACAATAGTAGTCTTTCAGTTAATTCATTTTTCGATAGAACAGTGAGAAGACGGAGTTGATCTGAAAAATGTGGTGTATTTGCGCTATACATTTTGAACAATCTGGTCACATATATACTTACCACGGCATTTTTATATATGAAAATTAATGAAGGTTAATTACCAGAACTCAGTTTGAACTCAGTACCTAAGTGGACAACGCAATGACGTTTGAAGTGAATGGTACTAGATTCGAGTTCCGGAGATGTAGGCACATCCAACTGACGAGTCTCAAATAGGACGGACTACACGTCCTGGATTCCACTCATAGCCACTTTAGTTTTTTTCAGTTCTATATCTATAACTATATCAACTGTCACTCTCATTTATGATAGCTTATTTACTAAGAGTATCAAATACACACTTCAATATTTTCCTGGATTCCACTCATAGCCACTATCCATCTTTGCTTATAAAGCTTGTGACTTCAGGCAATATCAAGGCAATCCGCACAGAATACGCATACACCAACACGAGACTGATCAATTGCAGTGCTAATAATCAATGGGAAGATACAAGTAAATAACACCAAGTGAATACAATTAAATAGAAGTTCAATGAAAAAAGGTAACAAAGTGGAGAGAAACAAGTTTACATTGTATAGAAAAAATATGAAATTGTCGGATTACCTTAGGCCATAAAACGACTTGAGGATTACCGAAGTAAATTCAAGGTTACGACAAGTTTTTTGTACATGTAAGCGGAGTTTAAATTTACGAATAGCCATCCTTTTTTCTAAATGTATATTTACAAGAAGAAATTGTTGTTACTATATGTTGAGAAAGGCAGTTTCTCTCATAGACAATCAGATAACTGTCTTAGTACGCAGTTACCAATTTACTTAATTTTACCATTGTACATATGTTGTTATTAACCATAGCATAGAACTCTACAACATTGAATAAAATATGTTGAGTTCCCTTAAAGTTTTTTTGAATTTTTACACTTTCATATAACTTGCTATGCTTGATAAACTAAATATAATCTCTCTTCTCATCCTCCTTGTATATTCAATCTAATTTAGCTACGTGATGCAAATTCCGAATTAAATAAACTAATAGAAAAACGTATGATTTCAAATGAACCATTTGATGATAAAATTTCATTATTTCGTCAGCAAGCTGCTATTGTAAGACGTAAAAAATTAGCAGCAGCTGAAACATTAACAACAACACGTGATAGACTATCTGAATTGAATAATCGTCTTGAAGAAATGAAAAATCAATTGGGTGTATCAGCAACTATTGATCAGAATGGAGAAGATGGCAATGGGATTACAATAAATAAGGCGTTAGATCTGTCCTGTTTAAAGACTGATGAAGTAAGCTGTAGTTGAGTTCATTCTAAATTGTTTTAATGATAAAGATTTTTCGTATAAATCAATCAGTCAGTCAATTATAAACAAATCAAAACCTTCCAAATCTATGCATCGGTTCAAGTTATTACATCATATCAGTACAATGGGATGAAATTATCAAGATAAATATAACGGTAGTAGAATTAAAAACAGTATTAGTGGAAGTAGATGACATTAGGCATAAACAATATGATTCGAGAAGAAAGTACAAACTCTCAGGATTAAGATTTAAGGTAATTTTTGGAGTAAAGACTAAAGAGGTAATGTTTGAATCAATTTATGCAATTGAGACCAATTGCAAGCCAAGTCAACCAATCTCCTTAGCCTGCTAGTCTGCAACAACCAGCTCTACTCAGTCCAACAGTCACGAACTGATATAATGTCTTGGTTTAGTTGCCCCTAACTTTCTTCCAACCTAGTCATGCACAAGGAAACATAGAACGTTGAAGTTGGAAATGGTCAGGTATACTTATTATATGTCTCAACCACCTCAGTTGATAAACATTCATAATCCCACCAGCCGATTTATAACCTTAACAATATATATATATATATATATATATATATATATATATATATATATATATATAAATTGAGTTTATGATACTCATTATGATGACAATATCGATAAAGATACTGAAAAGACACGACTAAACATGTATATACGTACATTTAAACTTTTACTTTTGTTCAACAAAACTATTGATCGTAGTGAGAAATCCTATGTTAACTATCCTCGATAGTATTGTTACTAATTTATATTTTATTTGTATACTTAGTTAGTCAAAAAACTTTTGACTTTGAACTACTTTCCATTTTGATTAATCAGTGCAAATAACTAAACAATAATGGCATCGGTCGCTATACAGTTTACATATTTCAGTCCTTATACACTACAGCAGATTGTATCTTAAATAGCTCAATAGTAGTGTCTTTGTTTATCATATTCCTTTCGGATCAAATCAAATCTTATGTGAAACATCACTTCTCCAAACATTATAGATTTATCTTGTTGACGAGTGTTATCTATCATGAAACATAGTTTCAAAAATCTCTACCGACTCCTTTAACCATAAGACACTAACGTTTGTTAAGAATACTTCTGAATTCAGTTGGAACTTAGATAAATTTCAAATTATCAGAATAGTTGGTATTCACACTAAAGTTTGACTTAAAAATTTCAACTAAATTGAGCAACGGGTAGATTGTTATATCCCAATGAGTATAAAACTGGATTTCTGACGTTCTGCTATCTTTTGTGAATCGTTTCTTTAAATAAATAAATAAATAACCAAATTAAAATGATACAAACATATTATATTCTTATCATTAGGTCAAATACCTTCCAAACATTTTGTAGCAACCATGAACCAACTTAAGCAAGACAACCACTAAAAATGTAAGAGCACTGGATGGTCTTTTTGTCCAAATATGAGACTCAGTAGTGTGCATCCATAATCGCGCACTCAGGACTCGAACCTAGTACCCTTGGGTATGCGCGGGAACACTCAACCTCTAGACCACTTAGTCGGCATTCAACAGTGTTGATGTCTAACTTCCGTTGATCCATGATCTTGCACAACCCTTCATCCATTATCTGTTTGGGATTGTGAAAATTACGGGATTTTATTAATATCACGAACCGATCTATGTCATATAACCACTGAAAAACTGGAAACACTGGACAGCTCTCTCAAAAAGCTATTAGATTTCTGATACAGTATGCCAATTAGCCATCAGCCAAGAGTTTGCTTTCCTTTCCAAAGAATGAAGCACACCCCACTGGCCGAAAGATATGGTTAACATTTCAAAGGGATATATATACATATATATGAATGGATGCTTAACTACTACTCGATTCAATTGTTCACCAAAAGGCTACCTCACTCTCAGTCTTGTCACTAAAGCAGCCAGTTGGGCTAACTAATAGGAAGCTTGTGTATCAGATATCAGAATCGGACACCGCACAACATGATATTTTCCCGTTCATCAATTTGTGTATTGTTTTCTCGCTAACTACTGATTTGTAGACAAGAAATGTTTTGTCATAATACGTAAGTAGTAAATGATTAAAGTCAAAACTCACTTCTTCCCTAATTTCATAATTTTTTTTCTATCCAGTTTCAACGATATGTTGCAAAACTTCGTAGTAAAAACACAATATATAAGCAAAAACGTGCTCAATTAAGTGAGTTACGCGCAGAAAAAGGAATACTGTCGAGAACTGTTGAAATATTACGTAATGAAGAGAATGAAATGAAAACATTATTGGCTAATGCAGAATCTGAACATGGTACCAGCGGTTGTTGGGAAAGTCAAACAAATTTAGGCAAAGTAAGATAAATACTATTGTTTTACATATTTTTAATTTCCTTACAAGTAAATTGGATTAAACTGATTGACAACTGAATTATAATCAATGTTATATATCTCTGTTCTTAAATGCAGTTACTATCAAATTAACTGATAAAATAATTCATAAAAAGGTTGTACTACTCATAATAAATGACAAAAGCCTTTAAAAAAACATATAACAGGATAAGTTTAATAATTGAAGCTAGACCACAATGGAAAACCTGGAAGCACTGGACAGATTTTTCATCATAGTATGGGACTCCTTGACAATGCGCATCCACCATCCTGCCCCTAGCGTGATTCGAACCCAGGATCTGTCAGCGCTTAACCTCTATACCACTGAGCTGGTATCCAACGGTGTTAATGTCTAACTTCAACTAATCCACGAACAGGGATTTAAAAGATTTAAAATCTGAGTTTCATATTTGTTTGTTTTTAATATTCATCTCGAACAGAATATCAATAATGTTGGATAAACTTTAAACTTTGATATTAAATAAATCAAAAACAACAACTGATGAATTCGTTATGTTTCGTCACTTTCCCATCAGTTACATATAAACTATAAACTTTAATTGTTACCAGTTAATAGATGTTATGTCGCAATATAATGTGTTAATCAATAACGGATAAGTGGTGTTTTATGTGAAAAACACTAAAGAAGGTTTTGTATCATAATTTCTTTATAATTCTAGAATATTAAGATAATTTTTTTAGTGTGATATAACAAAGAAACATTTTTTGGAAGTTTTGAAAGAAAAAAAATGGACATATGAGTTCAACTCACTAAATTGTGATTACAATTAAATTAAATAAACGTACATACGTATTTATGCATGTTACCCTTTGTGAAGGAACATAGGTCGCCCACCACGATTCTCAAATCCACTATGTCTTCGGCGATTCTTTCCAGTTGCTATTCATCATTTTCATGTCTGCTTCTCCAATTCCCGACGTAGTGTGTTCCTTGGCCTTCCTCTTTTTCGTTTCCATTCACGATTCCAAATTAGCGTTTGCCTCGTGGTGTAGTTTGATAATTTCTGAAACATATATCCCATCCACTTCCAATGTATTTCCCAAATTTCATCTTCATTTGGAAGTTGGTTTGTTCCATACTACAGTGGATTGTTACTGATGGTATCCGGACAACGGATCTACAATATCTTGTGTAGATAATTGCTTAGGAATACTTGTACGTTTTTTGATAATGATTGTAGTAGTTCTCCAAGTTTCAGCTGCGAAAAGTAGGACTGTCTGAACATTCGTACTGAAGATTTTGACTTCGATACTAGATGATAGTTGTTTTCAGTTTCATATTTACTTCAACCGTAGGAATGCTGTCCTTACTTTGCCAATCCTCGCTTTTGCGTCTGCATCAAATCCTTCTTGTTTATCGATGATGCTGCTGACCAGATACATGAACGACCTCTTTCGACCGCCTTCAGAGCTTCTCCATCAGTTGTGATTGGATTGCTGTTCTCCGTGTTGTATTTGAGGATGTTGCTTTTTCCCCTGTGTATCTTGAAGCCTACTGATGCAGAGGCTGCTGCTATAAATTAAAGACAAGAGACGTTAAACAGTTTTGATTCGTTTGTGTTGTCAAGGCGATTGATGGTTAACTACTGACTCTTAAATGCAGCGCATAGAAAGCAACAAAATAAAATGTATTATGATTCTTTCTTTGTTAAAAAACATGGGAGCACTGGACGGCCGTTTCATCTTAGTGCAAGACCCCTTCATGGTCCCGCATGAGGGATTCGGACCCAGTACCTTCGGTCTCGTGTACGAACGCCTTTTAATGCTTCCAAGTTTTCAATAGTGGTCTTGCTTAGATAAACTCATGAATTCAGTTGTGGCAGTTTAATTTTAAGGTCAATCATTATGCTTGAAATAATCTCTGATCTCTTTTAATTAACATTACAACGGACAATCAGATTTCTTTCTATTAAGGCGTACTTTGACAAACTCAACTTACCCTAGTGCATTTCTAGTTCGGTGATTAACAAAACATTTAATAGGAACCTACCTGCAACCAAAAGCTTCTAGACTTTTGATAACCTTGAACTTCACAACGTGAATTCTGAGTAAAATTCAGAATTTGAACATTATTGTTTAAGGGTTTAGCACTGAATAGATTTTGTTTTTATTTGTCTATGATAATTTTGATTTTGGTTATTCCCCTGGGAAAACTGGACCTAGACTGACGTATTAAATATTGAATCTGTTTAAACTTCTACTGTTAAAGTCATTTCGAATATAACTTTACACATTATTGTCTTTTGTATACTCGTAAACTAATTTCTATCATATTCTTTGTTTAAATTTTGATGAGTTTTCACATAAATATTTACATAGTTCTTTGGAATTCAGTTGGTCCTAAGAATAAAACAACGTGGGATTAATTAATAAAATAGAATATCCCACTTAATCACTTCTGTTGAATGAAATGAAAATCTTCTAACTCGCGGGGCAGAGTTTAAGTGGTTTGAATTATTTTTTCTGGTTAGCGTATTTTTACCGAGTTAGTTTTCTACGGAATGAGGTCGCTAACCCCATCCCCAACCCTCCTTCTACTTTACGCTGTCTTGGGACCGGCAGTAGCCCTAGAGAGGCTACAGGCGGAGTTACTCAATCACTTCATATTGTTATAAAAAATTTCAAATTAGACATTGTTTTATTCATTTCAGATTTAACTTAGTATGAATCAATTAACTGGTGGGGGGGGTTGACTTGGTTTCTTTATACTTTGAAATGGTTCAAGATAATTTGCAACGATCCCAAGTTTAGATGTTTAAAGTATTGAATATTAAAGTAAAATCTATGGATCTTTCAAACAAAAATAAAATATTTTGATTATGTACACTAAAATTTTACATAACTTTGAGTTTTCGATTTCACAGTCTGCAAAAGAGTTAAAATAACTTAGATATACCTTTGTTTTTGAAAGCTTCTGAAGATTTACAAATGTTTACAAATACTAACTTCATACTATCCTTGATATTAATTAAATATAACTTCATGAGTTAGCTATGTGAGTACTTTCAAAACATCAAAATAGTTCATACCCGGATATGGTAAATGACTTAGTTAATAACAGATTGTATGAAACTACTTACATTCAACCTGTTTCTTTCTTTAAACTATGAACTTCATAATTTATTTTTTCGGTAGTATTATTCGTTTTGTTTTGTTTTCAAAACTATATTTCTCATATTTAGTTGTCAACTCCAACTGTTTGTAATTACTGTGGTTATTTTCAATTTCATTTATACAATTTCGCGAAGAACTATACATATGTATTTATGGACAAAGCTTTTTGTCTTTATAGTCTCAGGTTAACTGAAGAATAAATGACAATCAGATAGAACTGAAAAACTATTTTGTTAGCAGTATGAATTATTTTTATGATTACTATGATTCTAGTTTTATAATGCAGTTAATTAATCAAAGAAAAGATAGAATCTAGCGTGAATGTCTAACACATACAACATCAACATAGAAGTTGAGAAATTATTCATATGAAAAGTAGAAGAGTTGAATTCATGAGTTGATCTGTGCTAGATCACAATTAAAAACTTGGAAGCACTGGATAGCTGTTTTGTCCAAGTAAGAGATGCCTCCATAGTACACATCCACGATACTGCATGCGGGACTCGAACCCAGGAACTTCGGTCTCGCGCGTGAACGCTTAACCTACCAACCACTGAGCTGGTATTCAACGGTGTTAATTTCTAACTTCAATCAATCCATGACCTTGCGCAAGCCTTCATCCATTCTCTGAAGTGGATAACTGTCTCCATCGGACACAGATTGGACTCCACTGGTCACGGCTTTTCACCGAAACTCCAAGAAATCCATCGCGAAGCTAGTCACTAGTGAGCAAATTTGTTATTTTGTAATTTTATAGATATGATGTTAATAGGGACTAATTTACGAAACAGTAAGTAGTAAGAAGGTATAAAAATTGTACAGAAATTAACAGTGAAGTGGACATTGATCTGTTAAGAGTTTGGTAGTTTATAATTAAAGAACATAAATTGATATAAACTTATGACCGTGATCAAAAACCGTCTCCGAACTAAAAATATTTATTTAGATTGTTTACCTTATTCATCAAATTTAACTTGTAATTAAATGGTTAAAAGCTACTTACTTTCATCATAAGGCCGGCAGTGTGTATGAATGAAACATTCCCTCAACTTGTTGAACCTGTTCAATGAAATTTCAGTGGGTTTTTGTATTACAGTATAATATTGATTACTACCTACAAACCAATCACTTTAAGCATCTCACTTCTTAATTTACATTACTAACTGATATTATATAGATAACACTTAAGAGCGATAAAGTATTGGACAACTAGTTAGTCCACAAACTCCCCATCTTAAGTGGTAATTTTGTTCTTAGTCCAAAAAAGCTCCATTGATAAATTATGACTGATAGAAGTGAGCTAGATCAGAAAATAGGCAGTTATTACTGATACCAATAGAAGATAGTTACACAATATCGCGAATTGACTATTAAATGTCAATTCACTATCTAACAGTAACACAGTGTCTATAAGATTTTAAAGTTTCGGATTAATTCATTGACAAGGTTGTGGGTCCTTAGTATTAAGAAGTTATTTAATCTAACAAAAACAATTGTCCAATTCTCTCAGTCTTCATTTAGCTAAAGTTAGTCTGTGTTGTAAACATCCTTCGATTTGTAGTATCACTGAAAATACCTTATTCAGTTAAATCAATGGTTTAACTTGCTGCTTTGACTTTTAGCTGTAACGAAAATATCTACTGTTAATAATATACATTTGTGACAAATATTTGTACATATAAATTGATCTTTCACTAAGTTATAATTATAGTTATATTTGTTTAGTTCTTCATGGCAAAGTACCACGCTGAATGAGTTCAATTTATATCACAGAGAAGATCATTGCTTACTAGATTGCACGTATATCTTGCTAACAACTACCAATTAAT